CGAGTGGCCTCTCGAGGACCCACACAGGTGTATGAGAAGATACCTTGAAATTTGCTTCGTTTAACAGACCCCGAGTGAATTTACAGCGGCGGGTGGTTTTAGCCGCTCATCCTTTTTGACCTTCTAGCCGGGCCGATCGTAGGTGTACATGGTGTATATTCAGGGTCGCTGCCTATTTACGGCATGCGGAAATCCGGCCGACTACAAATGTGGTCGTCCGACTCTTAAGGTATCATTTCATGTGCAGCATACTGCCGCAGCAGTTTGTTGCTATTGGTGAAGTTCAATTGAACGAACAGCAAACGCAGCAAAGCAAAAGAACACGCAACTAGTTGATTCTAATTATTGTTATTCTTATATTAGTTAAATAATGGATTTTAAGAATAAAATAGATTATTGTGAGAATATAAAAGCAAAAATCGTATTTTAAACGTCGAAATAATAAGAGAACAAAGAAATATGCTCTAATAAATTTTGATCACGTGACTGATTTACTGCTGCAGCATGCTGCGTATGAAAAGGCACCTTTAGAATGGTGTCGGCGCATGGCTCGATAAAGTAAGTATAATTATACACGCGAGAAAATCGTGATACGCGAGAGATATATCGACGAATGTAAAATATGTACATATGTGTTGATACCGAGTATTATGCATATTTGATATACCTACAATCAACACAAGTTGAATTCAGCTTACGAAGTAGGTTCATCCGACCTACGATAATATATTAAAAAAAATGAAAAATGAGTTTTATAAAAACACTTCAAAAACATTAAAATCAGTTAAATATTTCCTCTCGTTAAAAATGTTTTTGTTGTCTGCCTGTCCCTGGTTTTCCCTCGCTTCATTAGATATCCATCAAATGTTATTATTCGATCTAACATTCAGTATAATTACTAAAAAAATATTTTACTTGTTTAAATCTAGTAAATTTATTTATTTCTATTACTTTTACTTAGTTTTGTGATACACAATCGAATTCGAGGGGACTCAACAGCTCAATATAGTAATCAAACATGTTTAATTATTATATTACAGATTTAATAAATAAGCGTTATTATTCAGCGACAAATCCAATGTTGCCTAATTGTTGAATTTGTTTAATATGGCAATTATTACATGTTACATTATATGCATATATTTCATACATGTATATCGATACGTTCAGTTAGCTACAGCGTCATTCGAATATCGAGCCATGTAATGTTTATGAATTTCTGTTAGAGCGTACCGCAGTAAAAGAATTAGTTTACACTTTGATTTATTTTATTTTATTCAATAATGTGTTAAAATAACAATACAAAAACAGCGCTAAGTATTTATTGTACATATGACCTCAACATTAAACCGGTCCATTATTTCTATCGAAAACGAGGTACGATAATGGGGTTGGTGGATCAAGCCTTCTTATTATCAAATCCAGAATTTCACAAAGAAAATTTAGAGTTAGTAATCAAAATATTACTCGAAAATAACTATCCTCTGAAATTGATTTTTGACACAATAAACCAAAGACTAAAACATTTAATAGAACAACGGAATATTCTTACAAACAAAAATGACCAAAATTTTAATTATTAACCTTAAGAATACAATTCGCATCGTATTGCAATATTGAAAATGCAGTATTATTAAAAATTTGGATATCTATTTATTTCATTAAGATATAATCATAAATATAAAGTATCATGTTATTTATCTAGTCTAAATATTTAATTTCATGCAATATAATGTATATAAGTTGGAATTTTGTTAGCCGTTAAAGAATTCTTTGATGTTGCCTGGCTCTCACTATTTATATATATATAGGTAGGGACGGTCAGCGTATCAAATAACAAAAACACACTCCGCTCATCCCCTTAACTTGAAGCGGTGTCTACGTTTGTATGAAATTTGTATGGGTTTTAGTACGGTATATTTTTTCTATAAAGAAAAAGTCTCATAAATTACAATCCTTACCCGAGAACTGAAAATATGTATAAAGTAGTTCCCACATGCTGAAGAAAAGGTACGTAAGTATTTGATTTTTTAAAGTCTTATATGTGTATTGTGTATATATGTATGCAGAATTGTGTAAGTTTTTGAATTTTTGCATTTTTAATGCTTTTCTGTTATAAATTCAACTGTACAAATGAAATGTGTGTTTATAGAAGTAAAGATAGATAATTGTAAAAGTCAAATAATTTTTTTACAATTATTAATGACAAAAATGAATTTGATAATATTAAGGCGAAAAGGCGCGCTAATATTTATCTGACAAGTAAACCTCGGGGAATGTTAGACTCCAATTTTTTCAAATTTTTTACAGTTGTTTCTGATGTCAAAGTATAAAGAAATCTGTCGTTTTTAGCTCAAATTGATTTTTTTATTTTTTTATTTTTTTAAATTTTCAATTTTGCGCAAATATACAATTTTTTACGTGTTTAAACAAGTTCTTACTTTTTACAAATAAATCTATCCGATTTTGATGAAACTTGACATACAAATAGAATATTAAATAATAATTTATTAATTTCTTTTTAGCGCAGTTAGCTTTGAGCTGTTTTTAAGTATTTTCTAAACAATAATTTTAACAATATTTTTATATTTTTTTTTATCTTTTTTGTTTTATATACTTTTTTCTTTTTTTTCCTTACAATTATATAAATAATTTTTTAAAATCTAATAATTGCAACGAATATAATAATATTAGTCAATATAATTTTTACAAATGTGAACAGATTCAATAATATTATGATTTGCACACAAATAAAGTTTACAGAAATTACATCTATTAAATAAAACATCCTCACAATTATAAATTTTACACGTATGTTTCTCAAATTTTAAACAAAATTGTGAAAATGTTTCATTTAATAAATGTAGTTTCATTTAATAAAGTTTATTTGTGTGTAACTCAGTATTATTGAATCTGTTCACATTTGTGAAAATTATATTGAATAATTACATAATATACACCTCCATCTTCGGCCAACAGAGCCAAACGCGATGTTATTGCGAAAATTAAGAAACTTAGGAATTCGTATCTTATGGTTGAGATCCCAAAATTCCCCTTGTTCCTCTTTTAACTCTGCTGTAAAGAAAATAGGCGAGAAAAATATTGGTCCAAAAATCGGCTGAATCGTTTCCCGACCTCAACTGGGGATCTTAACCATAAGATACGAATTCCTAAGTTTTTTAATTTTCACAATAACATCGCGTTTGGCTCTGTTGGCCGAGGATGGAGGTGTATATTATGTATTTATTTCAAAGAGCCGATTTAATATTCTTAATATTATACTATATTGAATAATATTATTATATTTGTTCCAATTATTAGGTTTTAAAAAATTAGTTATATAATTGTAAGAAAAAAAGAAAAAATATATAAAACAAAAAAGATACAAAAAAATATAAAAATATTTTTAAAAAATTGTTTAGAAAATACTTAAAAACAGCTCAAAGCTAAATGCGCTAAAAAGAAATTAATAAACTATTATTTAATGTTCTATTTGTGTGTCGAGTTTCATCAAAAGCGGGTAGATTTATTTGTAAAAAATAAGAACTTGTTTAAACACACGTAAACAATCGTATTTTTACACAAAATTGAAAATTAAAAAAAAAAAATAAAAAATCAGTTTGAGCTAAAAACAACGACAGATTTCCTCATGTTGACATCAGAAACAATTGTAAAAAATTTGAAAAAAGTCGGAGTCTGACGTTTTCCCGAGGTTTATCTGTGAGTGCCGAACGATTTCTCGGTTTTTTTATTAAACGCCGTCATACTGTTTTCTACTTAACTTTTCGATCTTGATCGCATTTTAAGCGACACGTATGGTACAATGTCGCACTACGCATATGTGCGTATGACTTTCAATTGTTATACAAGTATACACATATTTGATGCATGGTAGAAAAATACAAGATGTGCTTATGCGCATATATTTTTAATAGCCAATGAGAAATTGATGGCAGATATCGCTATCTTGTCGCGGTAATTTAAATTCAGCGTTATATCATTATTGTTTTACTTACTTATTTTTGTAGTTTTATTTATATGTGCCTATAATAACAAAATAAATTTGACTTTATTTTGTACAATAATAAAATAAAATATAAATATAAATTTTATAAAATGTTTATGTGTGTTTGATTTGTATACGAGTATATTAAACACTGAGAAGAAAGACAGATATGTTGACAAATAAATCTGAGTTCTGAAAAATATATTACTAATATATATATATATATAATACAATTACAACATATATAAAAAATATGCATATATACGTATTTAATTTCCGGTACAATTTTTTTAAGTATAATTATATATAACAATATAAAATTATATATAGAAATATAATCATGATAAGTATATTAATATTACTGCAATCAATATATATTTTCGTTTGTACATTTTTGCAAATATTTTTACTAATATTTTTACATTAAACACATTTATATACAGGGTGTCCTACTTTAATTTTTATATGAAAATATTGTATGACATTCTAAAAGCCTGGAAAAAAATAGTTCATATATAAATATGTATAAGACACTATATGTAAATTTATATGAAATATGCTCATATATAAATTGTTATGTATTCGGATTCATAAGACGCGCCAAGTATAAGAGCGCCATGTTTAGGTTGCGATATGGGGCGCTCAAGCAAGTAACTTGCGGGCGTGTGTTGATCGGAGCATTCCGTTTATCGGCTTGAATCAGGAAGCATGTGTGCGTAGACTTAGATCTTTGAAATATAGCCACGTTAGTATTAGATAACAATACCGGCGTAATTATTGAATCCCCTGCTGGTTTAAAACTATTAACGAACATAACAAAACTGGCGACGAGGATGGGATACCAGTGAGGGAGTGAGTTGGTAAAATACAGTAGAACGTGGAAACGTGCGTGCGAAACGATCGGTCGGCATCGATTTTTTTTTCTTAAGACAATAGAAAAGGACGTTAAATATAATGTCTACAAGTGGTTCTGGTGGTCCAAGAAATCTGGCAAATGCAGGAGCTGAACCTGCGAATATCGCAAATGCACATAATGCGATTCAAATTGAAAAATTTGATCCGGCGACCCAAACATGAAAACGTTGGTTACAACGACTCGAAGGTTCCTTCAAGGTTTTCAAAATAACAAACGGTGAAGAAAAAGTTGTGTATTTGCTTCACTATATTGGAGTTGAGGCTTTCAGAGTACTGTGTGATCGGCTTGATCCAGATGATCCGTATGCCAAATCTTTCGAGGAATTGTGTAATAAGCTGGGAGAATATTATGCACCAGAGCCACTGGAAATTGCGGAAATCTATACATTTCGCAAAAGAATGCAAAAAGAAGGAGAAGCCGCGCAGGAATACATAGCGGCACTTCAAAAATTGTCGTTATATTGCAAATTCGGCAATTATTTAAACACGGAATTACGAAATCAATTCGTCTTTGGAATCAAAAACCCACGGATCCAAGCCAGACTTTTGGAAACGATCGATCTAACAAAGGAGCGAGCTCTCAAAATCGCCTGCGCAATGGAGATGGCTGATCAAGGGGTAAACAAGCTGAAGGACGAATCGGCAGTGGCAGTCGACTTCGTCGGAGCTGGAAGTAAAAACAAGAAGAAGTCAAAAGAAAAGGATCGCAGGAAGCAGCCGTTCGGGAAAGCGGAGTCAAAGAAGACAGCACATAATGCAGAAATTGTAAAACATTTTAAAAACGGGTTCAAAAATAATAATAAAATTATATGTTTTAGGTGTGGTGGAAACCATTTAGCGCCTTCCTGCTCTCTTCCTCGGAATACGAAATGTTTGGAATGCGGCGGTTACGGCCACTTGAAAAAAGTATGCAAGAAGAAAGGCCAAACAGACTGTGTAGATATCGCCACAATAGACAAAGAGCACGAACATGTGAGTCATCGGTCGAAGTATTCGGTCTCTCTCCAAATAGAAGATAAAAAAATAGATTTCGACGTAGATTCAAGAGCGGCGGTAACGCTGGTGAGTCAGCCCTGGCTGAAATTAAATTTCCCCAAAGCAAAAATTTTGAAAACTGAGTTGAAATTAAGATCATATTGTAAAAAGAATTTCGTTCCTATGGGATTTGTTAAAGTTAAAGTAAAAGATGTAGATACTTGGAAGTATTTGAATATGTATGTAATCGAATATAATAGACAGCCACTTTTGGGTCGGGAATGGATAAATCAATTAACATCATTTAATAAATTTAAAGAGAGCCTAGAAGAGGTGCAATCATTACATTTAGTAGAACAATCGTGTAATGATCGTTTGAAAAATCTGCTAGAAAAATATGCTAATGTAACGAGTGAGAATTTTGAACCAATTAAAAAAATCAAAGCTCAATTAAACTTAAAACCAAACTCACAACCTGTGTTTTTGCGTAGTAGACAAGTGCCTTTCCAAATTAAAAATAAAGTAGAAAATGAATTAAATAGAATGGTAGAAGCGGGAATTTTGAAACCAGTAGAAGCATCCACCTGGGCAACCCCGATTGTCCCAGTTTTAAAGAAAGACGGCGGGGTGAGAATATGTGGCGATTTCAGCGTCACGGTAAATTCATGTTTAATCGTTGATGAGCATACATTACCCACTCATGAGGAACTTTTTGCTAAAATGGCTGGCTGTAAGGTGTTTTCAAAAATAGATTTAAAACAGCCCCTGTAGAGCTGCCCCCCCCCCCACTTCGCATAAATAAAAGAAAAATAGTGGAAAATTATGAGCTATTTATGAGCTTTAACAATCCACAAATTAAAAATTTTGAGCTCGCCGCATTGAGCAGAAATTTAATATTTTTTATGGGGGAGGCTGAGTCGACATTGACTCAGCCCCCCCATAAAAAATATTAAATTCCTGCTCAATGCAGCGAGCTCAAAATTTTTAATTTGTGGATTGTTAAAGCTCATAAATAGCTCATAATTTTCCACTATTTGTTTTTTTATTTATGCGAAGTAGGGGGGCCAGCTCTACAGGGGCTTTAAAACAAGCCTATTTGCAATTAGAGTTAAGAAATGAAGATAAAAAAATTCTTACAATTAATACTTCCAAGGGTCTATACCAATGTAATTGACTTATGTATGGAGTAGCATCGGCATCGGCGATATGGCAGAGAACGATCGAAAATATTTTGAAAAATATTCCAGATATTACTGTTTTTCTGGACGATATTAAGATCGCAAGTGTAAACGTCGAAAAACATTTTGAGATTTTAGAATTAGTCTTGAGTCGTTTATCAGAATATAACATAAGAATAAATTTAGAAAAATGTACATTTTTGAAAAATCAAATTTCGTACTGCGGGCACATCATCGGAAAAGATGGTATAAAAAAGGAGAAAAAGAAAATGGAAGCAGTAGAAAAGCTGCCAAGACCCAAGAACGTATCCGAAGTCCGAGCGTTCATTGGTTTAATAAATTATTACGGACGATTTATAGAAAATATGAGTGACATGTTGAAACCATTAAATGACTTGTTGAAAAAGAATTCGCATTTTAAATGGACTTCAGCTTGTGAAAGGGCGTTTAATAGCACAAAACAAGCTTTCTGTAATGATAAAATTCTAGTGTCGTTCAATCCAAATCTGCCAATCGTTTTAGCTACGGATGCTAGTCCATATGGAGTCGGAGCCGTATTATCGCATGTTTATCTAAACGGAACAGAGAGAGAGTAATAGAATACGCTTCGAGCACGTTAAATGATACGCAAAGAAAATATACACAGATCGATAAAGAGGCGTATGCCATTATTTTCGGAGTAAAAAAATTTCATAATTTTCTATACGGTAAACATTTCATTTTACTCACGGATAATAAACCGTTAACGCAAATTTTGAATTCTGGAAAAGGCTTACCGGCGTACAGTGCAATGCGGATGCAGCACTACGCGGTTTTCCTCCAGGTTTTGATTTTGATATAAAATTTAGAAAAACTGAAAATCATGGCAACGCTGACGGATTTTCGCGACTACCAATAAAAGAAAATAATAGGGCAAAGTATGATGTGCTAGACGTGTATACTGTTGATACATTAAATATGCAACCTGTTAAAGCAAGTGAAATTTAAACAGAAACGCGTAAAGATAAGAATCTCTTAAAAATAGTTGAAGCTCTGGAACAAGGCAAATGTTTAAAAAAATTTGGGTTGCAAAACCACGAATTCGCGTTAAATAACGGAATTCTGTTAAGGAAAGATAGAGTTGTAATTCCAGAAAAATTCAGAAATAAAATTCTTAAAGAATTGCACTTAGGCCATATAGGCATTGTTAGAATGAAAGCCCTAGCGAGAAACTATGTTTGGTGGCAAGGAATAGATTTAGAAATTGAAAAAACTGTTCGTAGTTGTAAGGAATGTAGTCGCGTTCAAAATAATCCGAAGCCTGCGCCATTGCATCATTGGGAGCCTACTGAGGAAGCGTTCCAAAGAATCTGTAGCGACTTATAAATAAATTCACCAGATCTTTGAAAAAATAATGTTTATTCATTGAAAGTATAAAGCGAAAGAACAAAAAGAATTAATATGTAACAAATAAATGAATGAATGTGTTGTTATGGAAATATTGATTTTTCTTAAAAACATTATGTATATTAATGAATTGAAGTTATTACAAATGTATAAAGATGTAAAAAGTGTAAAAGTGCAGTGAAAAGTGTAAGGTGTAATAAAAGTGTAGAGTGTAAATGAAAGGTGTGGATGATGAATGCTACAGTACTCCCCCCCAAGTGACGATATTCGTTGCGAAATGGACTTTCTTCTTCTTTGGTGGGTAGGTGCGTAAAGCTTTTCCAACAGTAGAAGAAGAAGAAGGATTTGAAGTAGCAGAAACAGGAGCTGAAGTAGCAGGAACAGGAGCTGAAGTAGCAGGAACAGGAGTTGAAATAGCAGGAACAGGAGTTGAAATAGCAGGAACAGGAGCTGAAGATCTGGTAGAAAGTTCAGTAGAATCTGAAGTTCTAGGAATGAAGGCTGGCTTGAGACGTTCTGTCGAAATATTGACAACTCTTCCTGAAACATTAACTGCAAATAAATGATCAGAGATACGTTTCTCAATAGGAAAAGGGCCAGAATAAGGAGGTTGTAGTGACTTCCTAACAGTATCTTCTCGAATCCAAACATGAGTACAATCAAAAAGATTCTTGTGAACAAAAGGTGATCTTTTGCAATGATGACTTGTAGGAGATGATCTGATATTCCTCATATGAATCCTGTGTTTTTCAAGAAAGATTTCAGGATCTGCAGGAAAATCTTCTTCAATGAAAAATTCTCCAGGAATACGAAGAGTGGATCCATAAAGAAGTTCTGCAGGTGAAGCTTTTAAATCTTCTTTGAAACACGAACGTAATCCCAAAAGAACTGAAGGTAAAGATTCTACCCAGTTGGTTGTTTCGTGGCACATAATCGCTGCTTTCAAAGTCCTATGCCATCTTTCCAGAATTCCATTTGAAGCAGGATGATAAGCAGAAGTTCTAATCCTTTGGCATCCAATTAGGTTTGTTAAAGCTTTGAATAAAGCTGCTTCAAACTGAGGACCTTGATCTGTTGTAATGCTGATAGGAGAACCAAAACGTGCTACCCAATGTGAATAAAATGTTGTAGAAATAGTTTCAGCAGAAATCTCAGAAATAGGAACAGCTTCAGGCCATCTGGAAAAACGATCAATCATAGTAAGACAATAACGGTAATTTTGACAAATAGGAAGTGGTCCAACAATGTCTAAATGCACATGCTGAAAGCGTTGATCAGGAATTGCAATCTTAATTGGAGAATTCTTGGTGTGTCTTGAAATCTTCGCACGTTGACATGGAAGACAAGTTCGAGTCCATTCCTTCACATCTTTCTTCAAAGAAGGCCAAATGAATTTCAGTAGTAATTGTTTAGATGTCAATCTGCCGCTGGGGTGAGCGAGTCCATGAACAACATCAAAAATTTTCTTGCGTAAGAGTTTAGGAACATATGGACGAATTAATTCCGAAGAGCAATCACAATAAATAGGTATGGTTGATCCTGAAAGAATAAGTTTCTTCAACAGAAGTGAAGAATTTGAAGAAAGTAAAACTTGAAGTTCTTCATCTTCTTTCTGATAATTAGCAAGTTCTTCTAAAGAAACTATAATAGGCATTGAAATAGATTCAATTCTTGACAGAGCATCAGCAACTGAATTCATTTTTCCAGAAATATAGGTAATATTTGTAGAGAATTGAGCAATAAAGTCCAATTGTCTGATCTGTCTTGGTGACGCTTTATCCAATTTCTGACGGAAAGCAAAAATCAAAGGTTTATGATCAGTTCTGATAATCAATTGTCTTCCTTCAACAAAATGCCTGAAATGTTTAATAGCCAAATAAATGCTAAGAAGTTCTCTATCATAAGTGCTATAATTTCTTTGAGCTTTGTCTAGTTTCTTTGAGAAAAATGCTATTGGTTTGATATCGTCGTCAATAGACTGTTCAAGTGATGCACCAACAGCAAAGTCAGAAGCATCACAAGTTAAAATAAGAGGAGCATGAGGAGCAGGATGAGAAAGGGTAGTAACTTGTAAAAGTTCTTCTTTACATGACTCGAAAGCTAATTCCGCTTCTTTAGTCCAAGAAATAATTCTTCTATCCCTCTTGCGACTGTCCTTTAAATATTCTGTTAACAGAGCTTGATGATTTGCAGCATCCTTGAGACAGCGACGATAATAATTGATAATTCCTAAGAATCTGCGTAATTCATGAAGTGTCTTAGGTTTAGGATAATCAATAATTGATTTCACTTTTTCGGATGTAGGTTTAACTCCTTGGTTAGAAACTAAGTAACCAAGAAAAGAAATCTCGCTTTGACCGAAAAGACATTTAGCGACATTGATTGTCATTCCAGCTTGTTGAAGACGATCAAAAATAATGCGTAAGTGAGCAATATGTTCTTTCTCATCTTTAGAAGCAATAAGAATGTCATCAAGATAACAAAAGGCAAAACTCAAATCATTAAGTAAAGAGTTCATGAGCCGTTGAAAAGTTTGGGCTGCGTTTCGTAAACCGAAAGGCATTACGACAAATTCAAAAAGCCCAAATGGAGTAGTGACAGCTGTTTTGTGAATATCTTCTTTAGCGACGGGTACTTGATAGTACGCTTTAACTAAGTCGATTTTAGAAAAGATATTCTTACCAAAAAGTGAAGAAGAAAAATCTTGAATATGAGGTAAGGGATAACGATCCGGGATAGTCACTGAATTGAGTGCACGATAATCACCACACAGTCTCCAAGAATTTTGTTCCTTTTTAGGTACCATATGTAGAGGGGCTGCCCAGGAGCTGCTTGAAGGCCTGCAAATTCCTTGCTCCATCATAGACTTGAATTCTTCCTTGGCACATTTAAGTTTCTCAGGAGTAAGTCTTCTGGGAGTCGAAAATTTAGGAGAACCTTCCGTAACGATATGATGTTCAACACCATGTGTTTTTACCGAGGAAATTGGAGAAAAACGGGTGAGTCCTGGAAATTCGGTTAAAAATTTGTGGTACACAGAATCAGGAGATGTGGTAAAAATTGACAAATGTGCAACTTCTTGAATTTTTCCAGTATTCATAAGACCGGTAACATTATCAATCAATTTCTTGTTTTTAATGTCAATTAGGAGATTAAAATGACAAAGGAAATCGGCGCCTAAAATAGGACGTTGAATATCCGCGACACAAAATTTCCATTTGAATTCTCTCCTTAAACCGAGGTTCAAAATTAAAGTTTTAGAACCGTAAGTATTAATTTGAGTACCATTTGCGGCAAAAAGTTTTAAATTAGTATGCCACGGCTTCAATAAAACCTTTTTAGGTAACAACGATATATCAGCGCCCGTATCGACAAGAAAATTCAAATTTGAATGTCTGTCGAAAATAATGAGGCGATTGTTAGAAACACCGTCGTAAGCAGCCTCAGTCTTAAGCGGCGTTTTTAGTTTTCCTGTGAAGCCAAGAATGTTTTGGACATAGAACAAGGTAAAGTACATCGTTTAGCCTTATCACCAAACTTCTTATGGTAAAAACAAATTGATGTATCTTTAATATCTTTATTTGATTTGTCTTTCTTACGCGATAACGATCTAAATCTTCTATTCTCTCTAGACCGGCTTTTGGAACGATCTCGACGACGAGAAACTTCAAGAGCTTCGATTCTTCGTAGCAAATCCGCGAAATCCGAAGATTTATTACTTGTATTATTGGAAACTTCCGCGACTTGCAAACCGCCGTCCCGATCAGCAATTTTATCGGCTAATTCCGCAAGTTTAACAAGAGGAACATCCTCTACTACGGCTAAAGTCGTTTGAATTCTATGTGGTAAGCGTTGAAGCCAAATCATTTGCAAAACACTATCTGCTAAAGATCCTCCAGACAAATGACGAATTTCTCGAAGTAATTCCGAAGGCTTTTTATCATTAAGTTCAATTCCAGCTAATATTTGTCTCAAACGTTTTTCCTCTGAATCCGTAAAGCGATTTATTAATATTTTCTTTAAATAATTATATTTATCTGTTTTAGGTGGATTTTCAATGACTTCAGATATGTTTACTAAGGCTTGTTCATCAAGATGACGAATGACAGAACTATATTTAATATCATCTGATCGAATTCGATAAACCGTAAACTCACTTTCAATAGAAGCAAACCAGAGTTTAGGTTGTTTATGCCAGAAAGTCGGTAGTTTTAATAAACGAAACTCATTTGAGTGAATTTGTAACATAGGATCACTCACCTGATGTCCAGTTTGAGAAGGTAAAATATTAATATTTTCTGATCCAACCTGATTTGATCCGCTCGCCAAATCCATATCAATCTGTGTATCCGAACAGGGTCTAACTGGTGATCTATCGATTGGCATTTTCCTCTTGTTCCAGGAATCCGATAAAATGATTTGAGAATTTCCGTGAAGGACTAATCCGCCTCTGATGTTTCAAAGATCCGGAGAATGAATCTCTTAAAATCAGAATATCCAGCAATTCTTCCAAGCGATGATAATATTTCGCAGACTTCAAATACGACGATCACTTGGCACTTATTCCGCATCAGCCTTTAAAATGCGTCGGCTTTAATATCACGTCGGCTTTAATATCACGTCGGCTTTAATATCACGTCGGGTTTACCAAAAATGTAGCGACTTATAAATAAATTCACCAGATCTTTGAAAAAATAATGTTTATTCATTGAAAGTATAAAGCGAAAGAACAAAAAGAATTAATATGTAACAAATAAATGAATGAATGTGTTGTTATGGAAATATTGATTTTTCTTAAAAACATTATGTATATTAATGAATTGAAGTTATTACAAATGTATAAAGATGTAAAAAGTGTAAAAGTGCAGTGAAAAGTGTAAGGTGTAATAAAAGTGTAGAGTGTAAATGAAAGGTGTGGATGATGAATGCTACAAATCCATATGGATTTTGCAGGACTATTTGCAGGTTATAATTTTCTAGTTTGCGTAGATGCGCATACTAAATGGCCTGAAGTTTATGTAATAAATAATATTACTGCTTCAAGTACTATTAAAAAATGTCGTGAAATTTTTGCTAGATTCGGTATTCCACGAATGCTAGTAACAGATAATGGTAGAACATTTATATCACAAGAGTTTCAAAATTTTATCAAAGCAAATGGGATTATCCATAGACTGACAGCTCCTTATTACCCGGCTACCAATGGTGCAGCGGAAAGATTCGTACAAACATTGAAACAATGGTTGCGTAAAACAAATTTAGAAAAAGAAAATGTAAAATGCAGCGTTCAAAAGTTTTTGTTTCATTACCGTATTACTCCATTTCCGGAGTTAAAACAATCACCCGCCGAAATCATGTTCGGACGAAAATTGCGAAATTGGTTGGATTTATTGTCTCCAAAAGAAATTGAAATAAAAAAAAAATCAGTAAGGAGTAATGAAACAAGAAATTTTCAAGTGGGAAATAAAATCGCAGCACGTGAATACTTAGATAAAAAATCAAAATGGCGTTTTGGTATAGTTTACAGGAAATTAGGAAAGTTACATTATTTAATAAGATTAGAGAATGGAAAAATCTGGAAAAGACATGTAAATCAATTACGTCTGAACGAACAGAACACTGAGAATAATAAATCGCAAGAGGCGATGGATAGATTTAACTATTCAAATTCCGAGTTAGATAAGTCAGAAATTAAGTCGAGTAGAGAGAGACCGGATACAGGGACAAACGATGAATCAATAAGTAGCAACGTCCACATCTCACCTGAGGAAGGGACAGAGAAGAATACAGGCGAACAAATAGCATTGCCTATTGAGGCAACTGATAAGCGCGTGGGGGAACAAGTTCGAAACGAACGTCCCAAACGAAATAGAAGGGAACCGGAGCGGTACTCAAATTTTCTATTTTCACAAAAAAAAAAATATGTATGCGTTGCGTTTGAGTTATTAAATTGTTTTCTTTTATATGTAGAATTAAGGAACTTCTGTAAAAAAAGGGAAGAGCTGTTATGTATTCGGATTCATAAGACGCGCCAAGTATAAGAGCGCCATGTTTAGGTTGCGATATGGGGCGCTCAAGCAAGTAACTTGCGGGCGTGTGTTGATCGGAGCATTCCGTTTATCGGCTTGGATCAGGAAGCATGTGTGCGTAGACTTAGATCTTTGAAATATAGCCACGTTAGTATTAGATAACAATACCGGCGTAATTATTGAATCCCCTGCTGGTTTAAAACTATTAACGAACATAACATAATAATAATATATATAATAATATTGTATAATATATATATATTATATATTAAAATAATGCTCCCAAGCGGTCACTCATCTAAATATTGATCATGTTCAAGAATTGATTAACTTCAGTGATCGGACGATAACTTGACTTTTTAATCGAGCTTTATTTAACTATTTTTTAATAATTTTCTATCAATTTTTTCATCAATAGTTGAATAGATGAACATTTTTTTCAATACTGTATCTCACAATCAATCTTTGAAAAATTGGAAGGAGAAAAAGATAAACTCTAATGCAACTATAAATATATAATTTAACTATAAAACAGACCATGCAATTATATTAATACATGTATAATAACCACTTAACTTTATATAATTCTTATGACAAAAATACGAAATAAATAAGCGCGTATTGTCTGTCGCATAGCAATAAATAAAGGAATTAAAGATTACTAAATATTGCTTTATATTTTTTAAATGTCACTATAACATTTCTCATAAAATAAAATATAAATATAAATATAATAAACACGTTTATTTCTTTATTTATTTCTTGAGGGAGGGGATTTAAAGACATTAAATATTAAATAAAAGATTGTTTCTTATTATCAAGTCTCGATAGTACACCAAGAATAACAGGTGCCTTATGCACATTTGTTTATTTCCATCAAAAAACCTATTTTCATTAGCATATAGCAGAAACATCCGTGTATGGCTCTTAAGGCCTTCCTTAGTTGTATTTATTGATCTCATAAAGTTTAATTAATATTTTAAAAGATATTTTATATATAAAATCTAATGTATAATTTTATATACGTTATTATGAGAATGTTGTCAGCCATTAAAGTTAATTGTACATCATGACACGATAACGTGTACATATATGTATATTTATATATAATCAAATATATGTATAAATATATATATGAATCATTCCACGTCAACCGAGTTACTTCCTTGCTCAGAACAGATTACAATTTAAAAGTTTTTTGAAGGTGTAAAATTTACTAAAAATATAATCTTTCAAATGCTGTGTGCTAAAAATTATGATACATAATGGCGGCATAAAATGTAATTTACAACATATTTTTTTAAGCAATTATGTGTTTTCTTTAATTACATCAATTGATTGGTCTCATTAAATTTAATAAATGTATAATCATATTAATTTACTGTATATTGAAGTGACAATATTTAATTTAAACAAAAAATGTTAATATCAATTTAACGTATAAGACGGGCAACAAGAGCCAAATCGCGGATGACAATGCGTTATCCTAACGAAACTAAATAATTTTCCGTTAGAATTAAATACCGGTGCACAAGGCACCAAATTTTACTTGGACACGGCCAAGATTTTTTAAAATATGAAATAATCTCATATTTGAGATTTAATTTCAATACCCTCTTTAACCCCCCTACGGAAAATAAATAAATGAATGCAAGAGAAAAATATAGATCCGAAAATCGCTGAATCGGGAATTCCGGTAGCCTTACCGGAAGAGATTCCTCTTTTGTCCTCGGGCCTCTATCTCTCTCAAAACGGCTTTCGTTTGACTTGTCTTTTTCTTTCTCTCTCAATTACTCGCCTTTCCTGGGCCAGCGGTTGCGCCAATCTGCTGGGTCTGCCGACTCGCTATTAGCAGCCGGGCGAATTCGGCGAGTCGGGGGTAGGATTCGCGACAGCCAATTAGGGCTTTCCGCAATTTTCCCGACTCGCTTGACAATAACGAAATGTGTGGGGTACTTTCGGTACTTCTCGCGACAACAAATCTAATATACAAATCTCGTTGAGGAGGCACGTTATTTCTAGACTTTCGCAGTCTGGAACGACGGCCTCCTTATTCCACGTCGACCGACGGGGTCCTGGCGGAGAGGGAGCGGGAGTGCGGAGATTATCCGCGGGTCTTTGGGGCCCTTCTTGGCGCCTGCTGGTGGGCGCGCCCCTGCGGCTTTCTCTCCCCGCGGCCGTTGTGCTGACTTCTCTTAGGGCCACGTGTTCCGTGCGTGGTGTTTTCGATCCCTTGTTTGCCGCTTTTTGCCTTCCTTGTTAATCTTTCCTGATTAAACAATTCCTCTCGGCAAGACTCCCGACATTCATAAAAAAAAATAAAATAAAACACGTTAATATAACAATATTCTTTCGCGCCGCTAAGTTTCTCGGGGTTCGCGTTCGCTCTCTCTCGCGCGCTCTCTCTCTCGCTCTCTTGACGCGGCCGCTCGGTTTTACGGCCCCGCGTAGGTGAGTGACAGGCGTCGGGACGACTACGTCACAATATATATATACAATATATACAGGGTGTCCGGTAAGAGTTGCCTCAACCGTCGTGTGCAGGTAGAGTAAGTTAAACCGAATAGGAAAATTCTCTACCGTTTTGCGATTTTCGCAATAATTATTGAGTTATTAAATAAAAAAGATCGGCTAATCCACGCAAATAGAAGCGCGCGACGAGAAAAGAGGTCTTACTGTAACACGATACACGAAGATTTCTCGAATACAATTCGTAGACAGTCATCGTTCGCTCCTCCTTCCGCTGTGCGGCGCGCCGTGTATCGTGTTACAGTAAGACGTCTCTTCTCGTCGCGCGCTTCTATTCGCGTGGATTGGCCGATCTTTTTTATTTAATAACTCAATAATTATTGCAAAAATTGCAAAACGGTAGAGGACTTTCCTATTCGGTTTAACTTACTCTACCTGCACACGACGGTTGAGGCAACTCTTACCGGACACCCTGTATATATATATATATATATATATATATATATATATGTAAGGATTTTGGAAAGCTCTTTAGATAAGCTATAAGAATATATGTAATAAAAAATAGCAGGTTCCATTTAAGAAATTGAAAGTGACCTTCACGTGACCTTTAAATGATTATACAAGGTCAAATTAATAACACCATTTTATGTTCCCTTCATAGTCAAAAAACTTTTGTTCGAAAAAAATTTCCATCTTGCTTACTATACGAGATATTTACGTGCGTTGATTAAAATGGCTCACCCTGTGTATATATCTACATACGTACATATATATATATATATATATATAACATATCGCATTAATATAAGTCATACCTAAAAGTGAAACGCAATTTAGAACTTTAATTCTAAACAGTCTCATAAAATATGCACATTAAGTGTGAAAGTAAGTTTCCTGATAAACATCGTCCTAAAATCTTAGGACGATGTTTATCAGGAAACTTACTTTCACATTAATATAAGTCATACACCTAATAGTGAAACGCAATTTAGAACTTTAATTCTAAACAGTCTGATAAAATATGTACATTAAGTGTGAAAGTAAGTTTCCTGATAAACATCGTCCTAAAATTCAAAAGAGAATAACCGTGCTTCCTTCTGTCAGTCTTGTATTTTCGAGTGTTTTGTCATCTTTGTTTATTGGTGTAACTATACGCAACGTTGGGGCTCTCTTGACAAAAATTGAATGGAGCGCCCTTTGCAAATTTAAAAATTATAATATGTATATGCAGGATATACGTATCCCAAAAAGATCAAGATCTCAAAAATTAATAATTTTAATCCCACTAAAAAAGACATCACTGATGTAAAAAAAAGCGCTAACTTATATCTTTTGCTAGCAATAGTTTTTTTATAAAAAGTCGTAATCAAAAATATTATCTTCTCAAAAATTATGTTTATAACCAAAACAATTCTTTGCAAAAATTAATCACCATCAAAAATGATTTCTCAAAAATTATATTCATAAATTATATTATATTTTTATTACTAATACTAGAAAAAAATTAAAATATTAGCATCAAAAAGTAAAATCAAAAAATTGCACTAACAAGGAAACGGTTGGAAGTGTCCCTCACCGATTTTAATGAGCCTTAAATATGTTGTAGAGCATTGAAAAATATTAGATCCGTATTTTTTTTAGCAACGTATCTCGACGTTTAGGGAGTAAACACCCTCTTGAAAAAAAATGATTTTTTAATTTCTGAGTTAATACCGTGGAAACAGTAAAAGATATTAAAAAATGTTTCAAGTAAAAGTTTTATGGTTTTTAATGTTCTTTAAAACAGTGTAAAAGAATTTTTCAAAAATTTTAAATTTTCCGAAATTTCCCCCTTTCTCTATAATTTTTGAAAATTTTTAATTTTTTTAATAAGAATCCTGATTGCACAATGTAATGAAATAAAATAGATCAAATATTTCTTTGGTAAATAATTTTGAAGAGCAACTGGATCTACATACAGTAAAAATAATCTTAATTCAGTCGCTTTCCATCGATTCAAATTTTCTAATTCACGAGTTTTTCTTGCAAATTCAGATGAAATCAATTTGGCTATTGTTTTCAAATTGGCAAATATTTCTTTGATCATTTTAGCAGAAAACTTTTGTTTAGGAGAGCCATATGTAAAAGTTTGTAAGACTTTTTACAACTCCGAGGCAAATTAGGTGAATGTAATCAAGTGAGAATTGCGAAACCATCCCTAAACCTGTCTCTTCAAATGATGATGTTTCAATATGATCTTCGTCAATACATTGGATGAAGTTTTTATTTGTTCTTAAAGCTGCATTTGAATTCAAAAATAACATGCGATAATTGTCATAATTTCCCTCTTCTCTATATTTTCCACATCCAAAGTAACCATTGTGACTTTTCATGCGTGTAACAAAAGACCGTGCTGAACTGTCACAAATTACAGCTCTAATTGTAATTGTGAATATTTGGTTGCAATAATAAAATCCACTTTGATGTAAAACGTTACATTCATCAATAAATTCTCTCAGAAATGTATTACAGGGATCAGGTTTCTCATTTCCATGATAAGCTCCGATTACAAATGGCTCAGCAATTTTTGGATAAATTTCTCTCAGAATGAGATAAAATTGACTTTTCGAACTTTTGGCTATTGGCAACCCAACGATATTTATATTTATCTGAATATCAGTAGATATTCTGTTGATATTAATAATTTTCAATTGATCAAGCAAGGCAGTTTTTAAACCATAGTAAAAATATTCACCCGGTAGTACACTACGAATTATTGATGATTTTGGGGTTCCAAATAAAGTTCGGATCTAAAGGCAAATTGTGTAATTTATCTAATTTTACATTGTTTAATATTTTTAGAAGAACGCCAGTTGCTACATGAGTTATACCATAATACCCAACGTTATTACTAATGCTATTATTTTATTAAAAATTTTTAGATTTTTTATTTTCAAAAAATTATCTCTATTAATATGAATTTCATCTATTTATGAGTCACTTAGAAAATCATTGTGATTTTTAATATCTATGTAATTTTTTATTCTTCTAAGATGATCTATGATTGATAGATTTATCATCTTCTAATCAGCCATAATGAGAAGAAGAAGAAGATTTATCATCTTGAAATTCAAAATTATTTATTGTTTCTTTTATTGTCTTGCCACATTTTATATTTTTGTATCTTTTAATATTAGATTATTACTTTTATTATTGTCCAAAGAATTACACATTTTTTTGAGGCGTCTCTTTTTTTGGCTTTTAGATAAACGTTTACATAATTTTTATTTTAACATTTTAAGAACTTTTAGATAAACGTTTACATAATTTTTATTTTAACATTTTAAGAACTTTTACGTGATCTTCAAACAATTATCCAAGATCAAATAAATGCCACTATCTTATGTCCCCTCGAGAAAAAATAGAATTATATATAAATATATACATATAATTTAAATATAAATATAAATATAAATATAAATATTTTATTGTAAAAGATTGCAAGTTAGTTTCTAATCATAAAAAGAAAATATTTATTAACGTAAATATTCATTTATGATTTTTATATGATTTTTTATTTGACTTTTATATGATTTTTTATTTATATAACTATTATAATTTGTATGTTGCATTGTGATATTAATTTTATTTGCATTGTGATATCAATTTTATTTGCTGCTATAATTATAAATGTTTAAAATTATATATAATAATAAAAGTAAAAAAAATTGAAATAATAAAATAAAGTATTAAAAGAAGGTAAGAATCTTCTCTCGACCGTACTGGCAAATATTATTTATTCAATCACAACGTTTCGACCCTTCTTTGAGTCCTTATCAAGTGATCTAGATATACATAGAGAAGAAATACAGTACAGAAATTAATACAATAAAAAACAAAATTACTTTACTAACAATATTACAAAATGATAAAAAGAAGCGAAACATACTTGTAAAAATAAAAATAAAATTATAATTTTAAGATGTCAAAAACAAACATAGTGTCAGTTTGACAACACGTCAAGACTCTTAGACGAGTTATTGGAGACTAAACGACCTTTATTATTTTGTCGTAGATATTACTTAGATTATCGGTATCCTTTTGTAAATTAATAGCGTTATTATTTTTCTTAATAAAAAACATTTCAGCTATTTCTTACGTGTTTTTCACTGTGCAAAATAACAGGCGAAGTCCAGTCAAAATCATGATCGAATTTAATTTTATGTTTGCTGATAACTGATAAATTACTCGAATGCATTTTGATGTTGCTGAAATGTTCCTTTACACATGTACACAGATGTCTCTTTGTAAAATAAAGTATTATAATATACTAGTTTTATTTTAACTAGAAGACATTTTATTAAAGTTTCAGATAATTTGCTGTATAAATCGATATTGATTTAATATTAAATTAATATTAATTTGATATCGATTCGCTTGAGAAATAATTGGTCGAATCGTCATCGATTCGACAACGAATCGACGTCAATTGGACCATCATTTCTCACTGGGATGATCGATACCCAGAGGTGGATATTTTAGTATCAATAAGTATTCGAAATCATGGACATGATTGAATCGAAATCGATGTTTGAATCGATATGATTTTGACAAAATGTTTTCAATGTCAAATCGATATCGATTCGAAGTATTATTTCTCACTGGGATATAATTATTTATTCCAGAAAATTTTCCCATATATAATTATATACAAATATATTTAATATATATATAATAT